CAACGAGAGAACCACATAATCCTAACATTCGCCTTCTGTCTGCTGTCGTCTTTTGCTATTTACAAAACAGCCAAAATTTTTTTCCATGCTGTTACATAGGTAATTGACATTCTTATTCTTTCACTCACCTTCTACAACCCAACAAAATAATCCAACCGAGACAGTAGCCCTACCCTAAACTAACCTCTTTAGAAGCTGAAAAAATGCCTTTGGTAGAGCGAAAGAAAATATTCCTTTCTTTCCAGTTCAAGAAAAAAGATCAGAAAAAAAAAAGAAAAAATTATAACGATGAAGAGGAAATAATGAAGGCAAGTGACAAAATATTATAACTTGGTCCTCAACCTCAAACCAATATAAAAATTCTTGTTCACCATCAAGCAACAGTTTCCCATCACTGCTTTTATCGAAGCTCAATAACCGTCTCCTCGAAGACAAGATCTACCAGTTCTTAGAGCAAAAACACAGTTCCTGTCATTCCACAGATAGCTCACTTTGAAAGTAAAAAAAAGTGAAGGCCGCAATATATCTCAGCTAACAAGCAGCCTCGTCTAAAATCAGTAAGTAACCAAAAGGAAAAGTCCCAAACAAAAAAAATGTCAATTTACGAAAGGAATGCAAACGAGAAACACGAGGGAATTATTTCTGGATGAATATATTGACAAGTCCGCTAAATTAATTCTTATTTTCCCCTCTCGTCCTTTCATTCTCCCTCCTCTCCCTCACTTCTCTTTCGTCCTTTAATTTCCCCATCCGTTCCCCATCCTTCTCCTTCAAATTCCCACTTCATCCTCTGCTCCTTTTTCAACACTTTTAAACGGCTTCAAATGGGGCAAAGAAAAGGAAGCTGATGGAGATAACCGCAGCAATGATAAAGAAGTCTCAATGGCAAAAAAAAAAATTTACTTTGTATAATCGAAACCATCAAAGAATTCACAGATGTATACACTCTGACCAAAGACCTTACGGCATATTTATGGTTTTTTCAAAGAAAACCATAGATACACACCTTTTTAAAGAAAGATTTTTCCTCTCAATCACTAAAAAAAAATATCGGAAACAAAGAAAACACAAGCTGCTGCAAAGTAGCTTTAGAGTGTACAAATCTTGTTAACGGAATACAAATTCTACAGCAAAGCTTATTAGAAAATAAGGTAAAAAAAGAAACAAGAATTGGCAGAACATAAAAGGTAGCTGTACCTCTATTGGTACACTGATCACTTGAGATAATCTTCAGAAAAGTATGGAAAGTTGATGACAAACAGCAACAACAATAACAATCAGCTGTAATTGAACAAAAGTGTCATGCGGGAAATACTTCAGATATATGCTGCCAACACAAATACGCCAGTCTTCTATAACTGCAGCAACGATAACAACTATTCCTGCCATTACTACACTTCCAACCACTGCCGCTACTATGCAATCAAAATATAAAAACGGCATAACAGTGACATACTATGAAATTTCTTTAGTCGATGGGTGTGTCAACAATATACGTCTGG